CCCTGCCCTTTGTCCACCACCCACAGGGATGATCCAGGCCCTGGGTGGTTTTTTCACCTACTTCGTGATCCTGGCAGAGAACGGATTCCTGCCATCGAGGCTGCTGGGGATCCGCCTGGACTGGGATGACCGAACCATGAACGACCTGGAGGACAGCTATGGCCAGGAATGGGTGAGTGGGGCTGTGTGATGGGATGCACACGTCCGGAGGCCCGGGGTGGTGAACACCTGGCTGGAGTGGCCACAGAGACCCACGGGGACTGGGGGCAGAGTGTGGATTGGATGCCAGCGTTTAACAGGGCCCTGTGAAGCCCGAGGCCTGTCGTGCTCTGGCCCCACCCCTTCCTCTGACACTGTCACCTCTCTCTGCTGCCCTCCCCAGACCTATGAGCAGCGGAAGGTGGTGGAGTTCACGTGCCACACGGCCTTCTTTGCCAGCATCGTGGTTGTGCAGTGGGCTGACCTCATCATCTGCAAGACCCGCCGCAACTCCGTCTTCCAGCAGGGCATGAAGTGAGCCCCACCCCAACCGGCACCCACCCACCCAGGCAGAGTGCGCTGGGCTCGCTCTCCAAGCCACAGGCCAGGCTTCCAACGCCAGCTCACGTGACTCAAACCCCTGGGCCCAGGTCTGCCAAGGGGGCATCCAATTTCAATTACCCAGAGATTATCCATAGCCAGATTTGAAATAGATGAAAGACGAGGAAGGAATGATAGGACTGTTTCCAATGAGTTCAGATTTTGCTCCTAAAATTACAGTCTCTTCCACCTTCCTTCCTTTCCAGTTTCTCTCTCTCTCACCCCCGCCCTCCCCCCTCTCTCTCCCTTTTTACGGTACTGGGAATTAAACCCTGGGGGCTCTACCACTGAGCACATTCTCTGCCCTTTTTATTTTTTAAAATTATTTTCATTGGTGCCTTGTAATGATATGTAATAGTGGGATTCATTTTTGCTGTATTCATACATGCAGATAACATAATTTGATTCCTTTTAATTTTGAGACAGGGTCTCACTAAATTGCCCAGGCTGGCCTCAAACTCGTGATCCTCTTGCCTCAGCCTCCTGAGTAGCTGGAACTACAGGCATGCTCCTTGTAATCCCTGTATACCCTGCTCCCTTCCCCATCTCTTACTTGAGTGCTACCCACCCTCCCCCTTTGCCCAGCCCTAAATCCAGGGTCTTCTGTGCTCCCACCACCACTCAGCAAGTCGTCTAGTGTACAGCACTTGCCCTGTGGTGCCACTGTCCACCTGAAAGCCTACCCTGGCCTTCTCACAGTGAGACCGTACGCCTGGCACTACGCAAAGTTTCTCACACTCTTAGCTCCACAATAGATCTAGGAAGGGGATCTTATTGCTTACATTGAACGGACAAGAGGCCCCAAGAAAGTTAAATGGCCTAAGGCCATCAGCTGGTAAAGACCCACCAAGCCCAAGCTCTGGGCTCCCAGTTCACGTTGTGATCTCTCATCCATCACAGAGCCTGGCACCTGTTCAGAACTCAATGATTTGTGATGCCAGCGTGGATGGGTGTTGAGGAATGCTCGAAGAATCAGTCTGGTGATGGTCATTTTCTTCTACTGTAATTAATTGTCATGATTCCCCAAGTGAGTTTTGTCCCAGAGAGTCTAAGAAATTGAGTACAGTCCTGGGGCTTGGAACTTATTATGCCCCAGGCTGATACAGGAAGGTGAACCATAAGACTGGCCAAGTCCGGCCCATCCGAGGGGCAAGTGGGAAAGAAACAAAATGAAAGTCCAGCTGGGTATAGAGAAGAAATACTGTTACCAACAAGTCACCTGGCAGCCTCAGAGCACTTGGCCTCTCAGAGCACTTGGCCTCACTTTAGGTCCAGAGACCATTGGGAGTCCTCAGAGATGCTGTTTGCATTATTTTAAAAGGTTTATCGAGCCAGATGCAGTGGCATACACATGTTATCCCAGCTATTCAGGAGACTGAGGCAGGAGGATCACAAGTTTGAGGCCAGCCTCTACAACTTAGCAAGACCCTCCCCGCAAAATAAAATAGAAAAGGTTGGGGATATAGCTCAGTGGTAGAGCATCCCTGGGTTCAATCCACAGTTACCATAAAATTTAAAAAAAAAAAACTTATCAAATGCTTACCTATAAGAAGGCTACCAGGCTTGCTACCATGTTCTCAATCAAAAGTAAAAAACATATCATGATGTTCATTGATTGCTTGTTAATCCCCAGTTCTGCTTGGAAGCCATGACTAAGTCTAATAAGTTTTCAGTGGGGAAATATATTACTTATTAACTAATGCAACTGAAGAGACAAAGATTAATTAAAATGTGGGGTTTATGGTAGAATTAAACAAGATAGTCCTTGGTGATCACACAGCTGGGGAGTCCTCAAGCCATGAAGGGTACTGTGCATGAGCCTACAGAAGAGGGAGTGACAGTATGACCAAGCGTTCTATGTTCCAGAGCTTTCCAGGTAGTGTTCTCTTATTTTCCTCAGAAGTTCCATGATATAAAGGTGAAAAATTCTGTTTTACAGAGAAAGAACATGAGACTCAGAAGTTAAGCCTTGTTTATCACCCAAAGCCAGGAAGTGGCAGAGCTGGGGATAGACCCCACCTTTGTGACTCCAGAAACTGCCATCTAAACCTTATTCTGTCCCGCTTTTCAGTCCTGATGTAGTGGGCATGAGCTTCCCCTGGGCTAAGGACTCTACAACATCCTCTTCATCCAATAGGACACACGTAGGCTCCGCATCAAAGGAGTAGCTTGCTACTTTCCCAGACCATGTGCCTGGAGCAATGATAAGACTTATACTGCCTGAGGGCAGCCCCGTGTTGGTCACTGCATCACAGAGCGTGTCATCCAGCATATAAGAAACAATTATTTAATGAAGGAATAAGTGTGTGATAGACAACCAGTGCAGGTCAACTCAGTAAGCAGAAAAAGAAAAAAAATGTATATATTGTTGTTGTTGTTCATTTTGAGGCAGGATCTCACTAAGTTGTTGAGGCTGACCTAGAACTTTCAATCCTCTTGCCTCAGCCAGGCGTTTGCCACCACACCTGGAGAAGAGAAAATCTTTCTTTGGTTTTATAAAGCATGAGGATTTTGAAGGGGACACAGGAAGCTGTCATTTATAGCCCTTCCTTCCTTTACATTTCTCCTCTCCTCTTCCGTCCCCAGGGGTATCCTTGGGTCTCTCCCTCCTGATCCCCCTTAAAATGCTTCTTCTGCGGGCTGGGGCTGTAGCTCAGTAGCGCACTCATCTGGCATGTGTGAGGCACTGGGTTCCATCCTCAGCGCCACAGAAGAATAAATGAATAAAATAAAGGTATTGAGTCCATCTACAACTAAAAAAGTATTTCTAAAAAAATGCTTCTTAAGCTCCTTTCTTTGCCTTTTCAGGAACAAAATCCTGATTTTTGGGCTCCTGGAGGAGACTGCACTAGCTGCCTTTCTGTCTTACTGCCCGGGAATGGGGGTTGCTCTCCGCATGTACCCGCTCAAGTAAGTGTCTCTTTGGGAGGCCTGAATGAGGAGTGGGCCCCTCCAGATTTAGAATCTACTTGAATCCTACTCTGTGTGACACCTTGCCAACCCTGATGCTCCTGACACTCTCCTCTGTTGTTTCAGGGTCACTTGGTGGTTCTGTGCCTTCCCCTACAGTCTCCTCATCTTCATCTACGATGAGGTCCGAAAGCTCATCCTGCGGAGATATCCTGGGGGTAAGTACCCACATGCCCCACCTGGGCCCCCAGTATAGCCGTCCCCCACTATGGGTTGGTCTCCTCTTTCCAGGGCTATGCACCCAGACTCCACCCCACCAAGATCCCTGCTTCTGCTCCTCGGAGCCCCCAGATCCTGGGGTCCCAGGTCTCAGAAGCCCTGACTCTATGGAACCCCCCCACTCCCTGACCTCTGGGATTCTACATCCCACCTAACGCATTCTGCCTAATTCCCCATCTGTCTCTGAGACTCCCACCTTCCACCTGGAATCACAGAACATCAGAATCAGAGGGGCCCTTTGAGGTCACCTATTCACCTCCATATTTTACAAAGAGAGGAGACACAGAGGTGAATTTGTTTAGGGTGATAAAGCAGGGAATAGCAGAACTGGCACTGGAAACTAGGTCTCTGAATATCCAGGCATCAACCAACAAGTTGAGAATTTTTATGGGCATTTTTGATGGCTTATTAAGTTAAAAATGAATGACCTACAGTTCATGGATAGTGTTTGCTTTCATGTGTCCAGTACGGCGTGCGTGCGTGCGTGCGTGCGTGTATGCGTGCGTGTGTGTGTATGTGCGTGTGCGTGTGTGTGTGTGTGTGTGTGTGTGGTTTTAAAATTGTTCATATATATATATATATATAAAAACTTAGGGACTTTGACATGAAATCTGAATTTCTGACTTCATAAAAATCAGAAGAACTGTCGATCCCATGTCAGACTTGCTCACAGCTCCAGGGGGCAGCTACTTCTGACTTACCTGCTCCCTGAACAACCCAGCTGGAATTTGCGGTGTGACCCACCAGTGGGTTAAATGCAAGTCTCCCCTGCAGGCAAATTCTCCTTCGCCCTGCCTCCTCCTGCCCTTAGGCAGTTGATCTCTAACTTCCCTCTGAACTGACAGCAACCCTCACCCCACTGTCTCCAACAGGCTGGGTGGAGAAGGAGACGTACTACTAAGCCCACTGGAAGAAGAACCAGGCCCAGGAGAGATGGGGTGCTTCGGAGGTGTTGCAGAGATGGTGATGGGGACGGATGGAAAAAACTGGGGTGGTATTTGGGGGATTTGAGAAGAGAAAATGAGACAACTTAGTAGCCTCAGTTGGCGGGGTAGGTAGGTAAGCCTAGGGTGACTGCTCCATAGACCTGACTGTGAACATGTGGACGAGACACTGCATGTCAGTGTCCCCTCCCCAGGTACTTTCTCGTTCCCTTCCACCATGTTGTCTATTTTGTCCCAAGGAATTGAGGCTGCCCCAGCCCTCCTGGTGCCCTGTCCCTTCACTCCCACCTCCTACTCTAACAGATCAACATCCAAGGGCAGGGGGCTGTCTAATCGAGAGGAGGAAACCCTCTCAGGTTTTCCTGGGTCCATTGATGGCTCCAGCCTCGCCCATCCCCCCACTTTCGCCCTCCTTCACATCTTTCCTGCTCTCTTCCCCTGCTTTCTCTCAGCTCTTGAAATCAAAGTCTCCTCCTGTGAGCACAAGAGCCTGAAGCCATACAGAGAAGCTGGTTGGAGAGGTTGAGCCTGGTCCCCAGGACTAGTTAGGAACCTGGGTGGGCAAGAGGGAGACTAGGGTCCTGGCCAGAGGAGAAAGGTAGCGAAGGAAGAGGGGCAGAAGAGGAGAGCACCAACGGCAGCTGTTTGATGTGTCTTGAGTCCTCAGGTAGACAGGTGGGCTCCAGGTCTGTGTCCTGACCTTCCAGAATACCCCGCCAGCAGACCAAATTCACAGCTCCTCAGAGTAGCAGCAGAAGCAGGACCAGGAGGCAAACTGAGGAGCTCCGAGGATGCCACGCTGTGTGCCACTGTGTGTCCTACTGGCTCTTGGCTAGTGGTCTTCTCAGTCCAGCAGGCCCAGATGTCACAGAAA